TTAAGTTCAGATTAATGCTAGAAGATATTCCTTATTTTAATATACCACTTCGTTTTCAAGCGGTTTGCCGGAATTTTCTTGCATATATACTTTCTTTGGAAAATAATTTTTAGTTGTAGTTACACAGAAATTAAATTGTCGACAGTTGTTTAATTTTCGTTACCACTTTCTAAAATTTACGAGACCTGCGGGAATCCTGTTGTTTCATAATAATTCGTTTGTTTAATAGTTTATAAGAATTTGAAAAATTACTTAAAATACTTCAAAGACGCCACTTTTAATATTTTATAATATTTTTATTATTTCATAATAATTCACTTATTTAATAATTTTATAAACATCCAGAAAATTACTTAAATAGCTCAATGACGCCATTTTTAATATTCTATGACATCGTTATTATTTCAAGCAATTCACTTACTTAATAACTTTAATTTCCTTTTTCGTATGTCTTAAATGCATCTTTTTTAAATCACGATATAATTTGAATATTAATTTATTAAAATTTAGAAGAGTAATTTAAAATAATTCAACGATGCCATATTTAATATTCTATACTATCGTTATTATTTTGTAACAATTAACTGATTTCATAACTTTATTTTCCTCTCTTATGTTTTAAAAGTATCTTGCTTAACAAATGTTTATCAACGATATAGTATTTGGAATATTATTTTGAACTTAGAAAAATTATTTAAAATGGTTTAAAGACATCATTTTTAATCGATAATATCGTTATTATTTCATAACAGTTCACTTGTTTAATAATTTCATTTTCGTTTCTCTAAAGTCTTAAATATATCTTGTTTAACAAATTTTTATCGCGATAAACTATTTTAAATACTAGTTTATAAAAATTTAGAAAAGTAACTTATAATAATTTAATAAACCCATTTTTACTATTTAATAATATCATTATTATTTGCCAAAAATTCGCTTATTTAATCATCATCATCATCAATGGCTCGACAGCCCAGGGTTGGCCTTGGCCTTCTCAAGAGGTTTTTTCCTGGCTAACCTCTTTTCTACTAGTGTTTTCCAGTTTTAATTTTTAAGACCAAAAGGTCTTTCCTTAGGCCATCTATCCATCTCAAATTCGGCTTGCCTCTTTTTCGTGTGCCAACTGGTCTGGCTTTAAAAACTCTTTTTGTGTTATGGTCATCGTCCATTCTGATAACGTGGTCTGACCATTTTATTCTTCGTCGTTTAATAAAGTTAATAATGTCAGGTTCATTATATGAGTGATAAAGCTCGAGATTTTATCTTCTAGGCCACGCACCATTTATTTGAATCCCTCCAAAAATACTTCTCAAGACCTGTCTCTCAAAGACACCCAACACAGCTCCATCCGTACAAGATATGATCCAGGTTTCACAAGCATATGTTAAAATTGATCTTATCAGAGATTTGTACAGTAAAACTTTTGTTTTTCCACGAATTACATTAGATTTTATTTTTTTTTCGATTTCCATTAAAACAGTTACTGGCTTATAGTAATTCTTCTTTGTATTTCCATTGTGGTATTGTTCCTGTTGTTGATTACAGAACCCAAGTAAACGAAATTGTCAACAACCTCAAATTTATATTCTTTAATTTCTAAATGGGTGTTATTTTTATTTTTTTATTTTTTGTCGTATGCCTGTTTAGGCAGTGGGGGGAGCGATTGTTCCTAATTTCAGTGGCGCCATCTATGGCCAGGAATTCGACTNACCACAAACCAGTTTATAGTGCGGGTCACATTCACAGATGCACACAAAGGAGAAAGGACATAGAACACACAGAGAGAGAAAGAAACATCCATGTCTTGCCCGGGATTCGAACCCAGGGCCTTTCTGATGCAAGGGCAGTTCCCTGCCCCCTTCACAGGCCGGATGGTAATGGGTGTTATTGAAGCTTTTTATAGTACAGGGCAAATATTTAGTTTTGCTCTCGTTTATACTCAGGTCCATCTTGAGAGCCGCTTTCTCTTAAGAAATAAAAGCCTGTCTTAGTGCTATAGGTGTTCCAGCAAATAATGTCTATGTCATCAGCAAAAGCCAATAGTTGTACATATTTATTAAAAATATTTTCCCTAGTGTTAATGTTGGAATCTATTATTACTTTTTCTAATACTAAATTCCTGTCGCACACCATTATTTATTACCATTGAGCTTGATAGATTATTCTGTATTTTGACCCTAGTTTTGGTTTCATTTAGTGTCAGGCTTATCAGCCTAGATAACTTTTTAGGCACTTTAAACTCTCTCAAGGCTGCAATGAGGGCTTTTCTATTAATGCTATCGTATGCAGCTTTGAAATCAATGAAAAAATGGTGTGTATCTATTCCAAATTCTTTAGTCTTCTCCAGAATCTGCCGAATGTTAAATGTTTGCTCAGAGGTGGATCTTCCTATCCTAAATCCAACTTGGTAGTCTCAAACCAGTTTTTCCACAAATGTAGAGAGTCTGCTGTATAAAATATTTGAAAATACTTTATAGCTTGTACAAAGCAAGCTAATACCTCTATAGTTAGAGCATTCAAGTAAATCGCCTTTCTTGTGTATTACGCAGATCACACTAATTTTCCATTCTTCAGGGATTATTTCCTGATCCCATATTGCTTTTATTAAGTTATGTATGTACTTAGTCATTTAAATTCCACCATTTTTCAGCAATTCGGATGGAATAGCATCATGACCACGTGCTTTATTGTCTTTAAGTTTGTTAATACCTTCAGCTACTTCTTCCAACGGTACAGTCACATCTTGGCTGGCAGTTTGTATGTTTTCTGTACGTATCTCATATCCATCGTTGTCTGTGTTCAGTAGACAATCGAAATGTTCATTCCATCTCGTCAACACCTCTGTTCTATCACTCAAAATTACACCTTCTTTATTACGACATGAGGTAGTTCTTGGCTTGAATTCCTTGCGAACGAGGTTGATTTCTCGAAAGAAAGCTCTGCTTTTATTAGTATCTCTCAAATGTTCAACATTTTTGAAAAGATCCTCGAAAAATTTCCACTTTTGTGTTTTGTGAATTCCTTTTTCTTCTCTTCTTGCATCCTTGTATGCAAACACTGAATTTCTTGAATGTCTCTTGCTCCGCATTTTGCCATATGCCTCATTTTTCCTTTTTGTAGCCATGAAACATTCATTATCAAACCATTCCTTCCTTTCTTGCTTTCTTAACCTTTGCCACAACTTAGTTTACCTACTTCAATGATTGTTTTCTTTAATGCATTCCATTTATCATCTATTCTCTCTTCATCAATAATATCATCATTAATTTCTTTAAATTTATGTTCTAGTTCTTTCTGAAATTTTATTTTAATCATCTCATTCTCAAGCCGGCCACAATCATATTTTTCCTGACATTCACTGCGAGTCTTGCGGGAGTAAGAAAGTCTTGCTCTAGCCCTTACCAAGACCAGAAAATGGTCAGAATCCGGATTAGCACCACAATAAGCTCTAACATCCAGTTTGTCTGACTTGTGTCTTGAATCTCTTAAGTAATAGTCTATTTGATTTTTAGTGTCTCCATCAGGAGAACTCCAAGTTATTTTATGATTTTTTTTAATGTTGAAACATTGTGCTTGGTATTATCATATTATTGCCTGCTGCAAAATCAATAAGTCGCCTTCCATTGTCATTTGATACGTCATGAAGGCTATACTTTCCGATGATTGGTCTAAATTCTTTTTCCTTACCAATTTTTGCATTTGCATCACCCAGTATAATTTTGACATCGTTTTTCGGGCAAGATGCATACAGTGCCTGTAGTTCTTCGTAGAAGAGCTCCTTTTACAAACTATCTTTGTCCTCTGTTGGAGCATGAAAGTTTATAAAACTATAATTAAAGAAGATTCCTTATATTCTAATTTTACACAGCCTAGGTGACTTTGTTACAAAGTCAAAAGAATATCAAAAGTTATTTAATTTTCATTACCACTTTCTAAAATTTACGAGACCCACGGTTAATAGTTTATAAAAATTTGGAAAAATACTCAAGATATATATATATATATATATATATATATAATGGCTCAATGACGCCATTTTTAATATTCTATAACATCGTTATTATTTCAAGCAATTCACTTATTTAATAGCTTATTTATAACTCACTTATTTTCCCTTCCCTTATGTCTTAATTGCATCTTTTTTAAAAAATCTTATCACGATATAATTCGAATATTTATTAAAATTTAAGAGAGTAACTTAAAATAGTTCAACGATGCTGTATTTAATATTCTATACTATCCTTATAATTTCGTAACAATTAACTGCTTTAATAACTTTATTTTCCTCTCTTATGTCTTAAATGTATCTTGCTTAACAAATGTTTATCAACGATATAGTAAGTTGAATATTAATTTAAATTTAGAAAAATTATTTAAAATGATTTAAAGACACCATTTTTACTCTATAATATCATCATTATTTCATAACACTTCACTTATTTAATAATTTTATTTTCATTTCTCTAAAGTCTTAAATATATCTTGGTGAACAAATCTTTATCACGATAAATTTTTTTTAAATACTAGTTTATAAAAATTTAGAAATATAACTTATAATAATTTATTGAAACCATTTTTACTATTATCTTATAATAATTTTATGAAACCATTTTTACTATTATCTTATAATAATTTTATGAAACCATTTTTACAGATTTACTATTACTATTATTATATTTTTGCTATTTATAATATTCTATAATATCGTTATTATTTCATAATAATTCACTTATTTAATAACTTTATTTTTATTTATCTTTCCTTAGTGAAGAATAAAACAATTAAGAACTATGTATTATTGTTTTTATTTTTAAACTAAGATCGCTTGAACTTTAAAAAAAATGTATAAGAGTTTTTGACAGTGATGGAATTGCAAGATAAATCGAATATCACATTTTAAGCAAAAGGAGACTAAACTCTTCAAGGAACAATCTTTTTCTTTTACATTTTGATCACATTAAAGGTGTGATTTACGCAACTGATTATGAGAGGTGAATTTAATTTGGCATATTTCCTATAGATGACGCTAAACTTGACTCGCAGTTGATTTACCTCCTTAGCTTGGCGGTCAAGTATTTTTTATATGGAAAATCATCATTACCACATGTGACCCTGGAAGAAAAAAAATTTCTTGATCGGTCAACAAATAGAAAATGTCTGAAAGACCCCTTAGGCAAAGCAGACGAGCAATTTGATGTCTGGTGTTTTTCAACATTGTTTGAGAAGAAAATAGAAGTGGAGAATAACTTCTGAGGCTCTGAATAACTTTCACTGTTAAGAATGGCACCTGCTGCTCAATGGATGAAAGGATTAACTCCAGAAATGGTTCAAAGGGCGGAAGATGAATTGGGCGAAACTCCCCAACTAAGAAAACAATCTTTAAAAGAATTAAAAGAACTAATTAATGGTATGTTTAGTTTTCCTTATTTATTTGTAATGTATATTTACCATAAATTAAATAATTAATACCAAAAATTTTAAAAGTGGTAAGTGTTCCTTTTTTCAATTGCAATATTTATTTATTTATTTGTTTGCTTAGTCTTAAGTCACAAACGATCAATCTTCGCTGTTCGGTAATTTTTAGAGTATATTATAAAATTTATTGTCCTGTTGAAATCAACAATGTGGGAGACAAACATCCATCCATTAAGAATCTGAAATTTTTTTTCTCCAATTTTTTTTAATACTTGAATTGTTTAGCTTTGTTTTATTAGATAAATATCAGACAACGTACGGACACTTGAAAGGAGATATCGCAAAATGAGGTGACTTTTCTTTTTTTAAATGCAACTTTAAACCCTGAATATTTTTCAAAATACACCTGCCTAAATCTATCTTTAATGTGAAAAACATCCTTCATTATAAAAGTAAAAAAAAAAATATTTTTTATGTTACCAAGTCACTACTTTCAGAGCGGTGCCTGAATGACACCTGAATTTTTTTGCCGTAAGAGTCGACTAAAATATTATACTGGTGCGAAGAAAATCTTTTTTTTTATCAAGATACATATGCTTAAAATTTTTAAAATATCTCAAAATATATCGTTTTTATAGTATCTAAATTGATTTTGATTTTTTCGGGGGGAAACAAATAATGAAATTATTAATAATATATAATTTCAAAAATTATATTATTATTATTATTAGATTTATTTTTATCAATTATAATAAAATATTTAAATCAACATCGAACAAATCATAATTTAGGGAAATGTGATTTTCTTTTTCATCTGATTTCTGACTACACTATCCATGACATATTACCCTTTTTCAGCTTTAGCAAAAACTTCTGACTCTATTCTTAATGAGATCTACAAACATCCTCATGCCTGACAACTATTGGGCTGTTTTTAAATTATTTTATAGCGTGGTAGAGGTTTAAAAACCAAAGCTTTCAAAAATTTGGATAATTTTACCAACATTTTAAACGCCTTATCGCGTAAAAAAAATTTTTTTTTCTTTATTTAAACAAAACTAGGTGCCTAGGCCGCGCAGCGTCCCCTACCCCATTCATCTTGAAAATTATATACAGTGAATAAAACATTTTGAATTATGTAACAATGTGGTAACACTATAATAAAGTAACCATGATTAGAAGTATGTACAAACTTGATCGGAGATTTACATTAATTGCCATTGAAAAATGAATACAGACATGATTAGATGGATATACATGAAATACGAGCTTAATGTGTGATATTAACATTAATTGCAGTAGAAATTTGGAATTGAGTATTAAAAATTGATGATAGCATATATACAGAAAATCGGGATTCAAAATCATGAAGATTCTACATAAATTTTGCTAAGCCTTCTAGCATGCCATAATGATTTGTGGTAGCCATAAAAAAATCAAGCCGTTTGCTTGTGAAATAATAAAACAATGAAAAAATTCAATATGACAAATTGGCGTTTTTACATAACACTAGAAATATTGATGGTAGACTTAAATTATAAATAAAGATAAAACATGATTTGATATGTACAATAATTGAGCGTAAAAATTAGATAAGAGGCTTTGCGTATGAACTTTTAAATCATTTATAAGTAGTGGTAATAATATTAAAGCAATTTATAAAGCTTAAAATAATGCATTAAGACGGTGTTTCCCAAAGTGTGGTACGCGCACCCCAAAGTGTACGGGAACAGTTTAGTGAAGGTACGTGTTCTTATACGAAATATCTTGCAACAAAGGAAAATTTCAAAAAGTTTTATTTAAAAAAAAAAATAGCTAGCCATGAGAATTTACGATTACGTATTTTTCTATTGGCAATTTTTTCAGAGTTAGCAGTTAATAATTAGTGGTTCAACAACAAGTTGTCATATATTTCCTTTTTTTATAGTCCTTTTTTAATAAAATTTTTTTATAGTAAAAAATACATTCATCTTTTATTTGTGGTACACAGTGTTACAAAAAATTTAGAAAGGGTACACAAAAGTCGTAAGTTTGGGAAACACTGCATAAGACATAGACTTAGCTACCACATGAAAAAAATTTCCCAAAAAGCGTAGAAACAGTTCGTACCTGTAACAGAGATGACGATCATTCGCAACTTAAGTGCCATTTAAGTTACAGTTTATTATTTTCGGGTGTCAAGTATGCAATTTGCTATTTATATTTCTAAAAATAATCTTCAAAACCGTTCTACTTTGGCTTCAAATTATGGAATCACGTTATGTAGCAATGTTTGCTGTTTAATAATTAGCTTGCCTCAAGGAAGATCGAATAAACCCCTGCTAAATCGAGAAATCAAATTTTTATAGTCTAGTTCCTGAATAAATTTATTATTCAGAATCTGAATAAATTTATTTATTTATTTATTTCAAAGAAATAATTCTCATTATGATTAACTAATATTTAAATTGTTGCGCTGTAATTTTTAAAATTTCGCTCGACTATTTAAATTAAGTCTTACCGAATTTTTGATCATTATCATATAATTATAATGGAAACAAGCAAATCGCAAGGCATTTTCCTTAATAAGAAAGGGCAACAACTTTTATTTCGATGTTATGATTAAAAAAGCAACTAAAAAGTAAATCTTTGCGAAAATCTATAATGATATTCATATTTGGATTATTTAATGATGTCGGAAAATATCCTTATGGTTTTTTTTACTTATTCTTATAACTGTTTCTCATTGCTGTTTTGTCCTGTTTATTATCTAAATGACTGTGATAAGGTCTATTATACATAATTTAGAATTACTCAATGCAATATAACTTAAAATTACATCAATCTTTCTAAACTGAACAAAACTCTTCTGTTTAAAGTTTGAAAATTCCCTATATAATTTTCAAAGGAGAAAATTTTATATGCTAATGATGTCAATTTCTTTAAAGATCAATTTTTTTTAAAATAAAACATTCGTGTTTACCAGAGTATTTAATAAAATTAGTAGAGACAATTTGATCTGAAATTATGCGTTTGCTACACTTTTAAAAAAAAAGCGAAAACAAAAACCGAGGAGGAAAACACACAAAAATAATCACCTAGGCTTAAACTAATTTTTTTTCTCCAAAAAGTTATCTTTTTTATTCCAAAAAAAATTGCAAAGCTTAGCGTTAGAGTGGAATGTTTTTAATACTGGAAATATTTTTTTGCTGAAATAAGAACGCTTTTTTTCATGGTGGCAAGAAGTTTGACTGAAACAGTGGCGTTACTTATTGTGCACCAAAAAAAAAAAAAAAAAAAAAAAAAAAAAAAAAAAAAAAAAAAANAAAAAAAAAAAAAAAAAACAGACTAGCCTGAATAAATTTTGATTTAATGATCGGATCTTCACATTTTACGATTCATTCCTCTTATTGGTTCAAAGGGATTACTTCAAATATGTTAATTATGCTTCAAATATGCAAATATGCTCAGCTAGGTGTGCAGACGATATTTTAAGTTACGAAATCAGGCACAAAAACGTACTTTCTGAGCATACCTTTTTTTTCCGACAGATCCTTATTTCTGACCTCCTAAATATAGGGAATAATAATAATGGGAATCATGGTACCCATAGTTTGTTCAGAAGAGCTGCCCTAAGTTTTGACCTACGTTTGTCATTATTTTTATTTCTTATTTATTTTTTTGCGTACTTCGCCATATCTCGAAAACGTTTTGAGCAAATTTAAACATTTTTGCACACATTTATGAAATTCGTTTATCCAATGATAATTCCATGCAAAAAATTAATTTCGGTAAATATTTGTTATTTTTTATTACATTATTTATTACTAATCGAAAAAATTTTAATTTTTAAGGCATACAATTTTTCACTTTTCTTTAAAGTATCTAACTTTACATGGCAAAATTTGAACGGAATACTGAGAAATCAAGTTTTACATATACGACTTTTTAAAAATTCGATTTCTCAGGAACTATTCAATTAATTTCTCTCAAATTTTTTATTTTGCGATACAAAGTTGGATGCTTTAAAATGACGCAAAAATTATACATCTAAAAATTCAAAATTTTTCTTACTATTATTAAATATAATAAAAAATTTTTTTGGAAGTTAGTACCTGTGTATTAAACACAGAAAGTGACAAAGTTTCTAGAGAGATAGTTGAAGTGGTAAAGTGAAATGCATGTCAAATTATCCAAGATAAAGTTAGATATATTTAAATTAGTTAAATCTAATGTAAATTTTTTAAATTTTTTAAAGAGAATTATTTCATTACGTGATTTCAGCTTTCTTAAATATTTAATTTTACCAAGGTTCTAAATGTCGAAATGCAGATATTTTTATACTTAAAACGTAAAAAGAAATCCAGAGCATGGTTGAGGATTTTTCTTCTTGTTGCAATCTTCTTTCAAGGACTAGTTATGCTTCAGGCTCTCAGAGAAAGTTGCAAGTATATGGTAATTAGGTGTAAGAAAAACTCGTTGTAACAATTGCAATGCAGGAATATTAAAAACAAAAGATTTGCTATCAAGAGAAAATGTGTTATTACGACACACGGAATAAATTAGAACTTTTTTACGAACTAATATAAAAAGTCACAGATTGATTTCCTTTTTAATTACAGTTCACTTCTTCTGCAGTTTTTTCAATAACAGCTTGATACAATTTTTATCGATACGATTAACAGCTTGATACGATTTTTTTAAACTATTTTTCAAATTATCTTTGATGTAGAAAGGACTACCCAGTGTGTCATTGATTATAATTATTTAACCAAAAAAGCTTTGTTTCATTCAATGTTTTTTATCTTTAATTGGTGTGTTTTTCGTGTGTGTAATCCGAATCAATTAAAAATGTAAATAAATAATTTTCTTTTTCTTTTAAATTCCATTTTTTTTCTACATAAAAAGAAAAAAATATGAGCTTGTATGCAAACTTCATATTTGTTCTATTCAAAATAGCGTTTTTATACATAAACACGTAAAAGTTATTGTTTTAATATTTATATTTTTTAA